AGGAGCCTGTGCCTGCACTTACCCTCTGGGGTGATGAACTAGAAGTAGTTGAGAGCTTCAAGTGCTTCGAGAGCATGATTGCAGCTGGTGGTGGTTTTTGGGACGTGAGCATATCACGAATAACGAAAGCTAAAGCAGCTTTCGCCAACCTACGACACCTGTGGCGCCGCCATGACATCCGACTGGCCCTTAAGGGAAGAGTATACATCACCGCAGTTCGTAGTGTTCTGCTTTACGGTTACGAGACCTGGCCTCTCCGAGCGGAAGATGCTAATCGACTTTCTGTGTTTGACCACCGATGTCTCTGAAGCATTGCTCGTGTCTGACGGGAATATCGGGTGAGCAATGACGAGGTCCGTCGTCGTGTGTCGGGTGTGGATAGTCGTTCTCTCTAACAGAAGTAATCGCTCTACACCGCCTCCGATGGCTTGGTCACGTTTCGCGTATACCTGCCCATCGACTACCTTCCTCTCTTTGCACGTGCCGGGCAAGGCTGGAAGAAGCAGCGCGGCGATCAGACCATGACATGGGCTAGAGGTATGAAGAAGCTGGCTTCAGCTTTGGCTTCGGTTGGTGCTACCCACCTTCCAGGTTGGGGTCCAAGAGATGAGGTTGGTTAGAGACGCTGAGAGATATGGCCCAGAATAGAAGTCAGTGGCGCAAATGCTGTACGGTCTACCTGTCGAAATCCCGTGCCCCATAAAAACAGTAAACAACACAAAAAATATCAAAAAGTGTACGGATATATATATGTATATTATAAAGACTCAATAGTGATTATAAGCAAGACAGTCGGAAATTACAGAATAAGTGGAGTACGTGGAAATTTTCTGAAGATCTTGGAGAGGAATAATCTGTGTAAGAAGTAGCAGGTGACTATGTGCTATATCCAAACCAATAACAAGTGTTTCAACGTTGCACAGGTTCGTGTATTTAAATAATGATTATGTAAATTAATAATTATTCAAATACTATCCCGGATGTACCGCAAGGGTTACACGAAACAATACATCTATAAAGTACATAGATTTGGCCAAGATCCTGGTTAGTCGAACGTCGTATTGTATATTGAAATAATTGTGTCGGGAATCGCATTAAATGAACTGCAGAATGAAATAATGTGTTGGTCACATTTCATTTGTATAATCTTACCAACTAACATGCCTCTGCCATGACCTGCGAAAGTGATCTTTGCCGTCGGGCCTTGGGTCCCGGGTCCGTTATGTGAGGTGCTAGTGGATGACAAATTATGGCTGATGACTATCGTTTGATAGAAGAAAGCTGATTCATACATAGTTGTCAATACCCACTTTGTCCTTCCGATTCCGAATTATCGGCTTTGATTTGTGCTTTTTTCCAGCTAGATATCTCCATCGTACATAGAGTATATGCAATTGGAATATGTTTATTTTGTAAGGAAAACAGTGGAGAAATCAGGACAAAATATTGATTATTTCTCTTCCTATTTTTCATGAATTCCTCCCCTCCGATTAAATAGTTTGACAAATTGTCATGTATTAGCCCGTAGATTCAAAATCGCAACCGAAGCTGTTCAGTAATGTGTTATTCTTACAATGTGTTTATAAAAACATTAAAATATTTGATTCTCGTACTCTCAGTCTTGTTCCGAACCCTTCGTAACTTGCTTAGGGTTTGTCGGAGAAGAGCGTCTACGCACATGGAAGAGTTTACAGTAGCATCGACAAGTTAATGTCTAGTATCTTCACTAAATGGCGGAAATCCCAAATTGAGACGGTCCCAATTATCGGCATGTGCTGTTTACCGGGTCAGGTAGTTCGTCGAAGAAAGTGTAATGTGTTCAGATTAACACCTGGCACAGTGATATAAGTAAGTGAACCAAACGCTCCTATTGGTGACCGTCCAATCGCGTTTAAGTCCAGTCGTGTTTTGCTTTTCTCATGCTCGATTCGAAACTGCCACCGGGACGAGAAAAAGACTTTTTTCATTCGTATTTCATATCGTTGTCGTTGCCTATTTCAGACTCTAATCGATGAACAAATTTCACAGTACTTGGCGGAGTTAGTCGATTTCGATGTACAGGTGGATCGTTGCCTGGCTCGCCTACTTAATGGTGTGGAGTGTAATGGCCAATCGACCGATTCCGGTACAGATGCCACGGATGATGCGGTGCTATGGGCATGCGATCCGGAACAAGATTCTGCCCCCGAGAACGATCGCGTTGTTAAGGATTTGAATTGCCGTTTTTTGTCAAACAACATGTCTCCTTGGAAAATTGACACGGAACCGTTGCGTGCGTTACTAACTCAGCGGATGGACGCACATCAGAGGTGTTATACAGCGTTTGAACACGAGCTGAATGCTTTTCGCGAACACTTGGGTGATTTGGTGAACACGGAGACGGTTTCTGTTGTGAAATCCAGTGATCAACATGAGAAGAGTCGTCTTGAAGCAAGGATTCGTCAGTTGGAGGTTAGTATAAACCGCCTATACTGTAAAATATGTTCACCCGTATGCATCGGTTCAGTTCAGTTTTTATATCCATAAACGATACACTTTCGTGCATCAGTTTTGGTGTTGTCTTTTGGCCGCCCATTTGGATAAAAGAGGAGAATGAATGTATATCCACAAGTTGATTTTCTCAAGCATTCTGGCCGTTTTTTATCCAACCGTCATTATTATATCAACTATTTCTCTTCACTATGAATACTCACATCATTTGCCATTATTTATGTTTGTTGCTCATTTCATTCTGATGACCACAGTTATTTGTTGTTTGCTTACAATAACGTGCAACCTCAACTCTGACACATGGGAAAGCAGCCAAATGGATCCTCAATAGACACGATTTGCCGTCCATTGCCGCTAAGACTGTCTAATACCGAACTGTCTATGAGTTATTTCGGGACGCCCGTTTTTTTGGTTTCGTTTATGATCGAGTTTTTTTCGTATCAAAGACCTAATTAAAGTGCACCGACAAGACCGCTTTCTTTTTGTGAAGTGGTTTGTTATCTCGTCACGAGCGCTCTGCATTCCGTCAAACGTTTCAATATTCCATCGACCGTCACCCATTCGTCAATAGCAAAAGTGAAAAAAACCCTGATTACTGTACGTTTATTCTTCATAAGGAGACTACAGGTAGAGGTGGAATAAAGCCGTTTTTATACGATAGAAACTTCCTTTTTCATTGTTTCCGCTGTTTTCTTGGACGGGATAAGCCGGTTTAATACAGAAGATACCTCTATAATCACTCGGCATTTCTCTCAGTGAGGTATTTCTGGTGTTTGCGCAATCGAATGTAGACTACAAGGCAACAAAGCGTTGGTAGATAGTTGCTAATGGCTCCCTTAGGGCTTAGTTGCCAATCCACTGGTCAGGTTTCATTCCCTGCTGGTTGGACAGACTTTGAGGCCGTATTGCATATTATATTTCACACACGTCTGATACCAGACTGTGTGCCAAACAAATTGTGGTACAATGACCGTAGGACCACGTGATAGAGCTCGTCCGTCTACTAAGGAGCAACTGGTTTCGCAAATCATATACCATTTCGTCAAAGATTTTAGATGTCGGTGAACCTCCACCCTGTGTATCATTTCTCAGCTTCTTGCGGCCACAAATGATTTGGGTAAATGATGGAAACCAAAGAGGTGGAATATGCCTCAAGTCACACGAAACTACTCAAGAAACCCTACTCACCGCATTCACTTTGCAGAGGTGTTTTCCAAATAAAATGAAAGAACGAAAATGTAACATCCGGGGCCATTTCTGAGTTGGTAGGTCACTGGTGGTTCATCTGTGGGAGTTACTTAGAAACTAATTCCAAACCAACCAAGAAAAAGTGTACCAGCAACACCTGGTCACCGGCTTGATTGAACATCAAGGCCTATTGGACCCCGTGGACGTTTGGCTTCTCCCATAGGATGTATGATCAGATGAACTAGACTCTGGGACCCAGTGGATGGTGTTTTTCATACCCAGATCCTTACATTGTGGATCAGGCTTTGGCTAGTCAAAGACTCCGGCTGCGGTTGCCTCAAGGATGCTGACCTGCTTTTGCTTCGGCAAAATGATAGGACTCCGTCCACGTGCAAATCATATATAGATTTCTTTGTTGTAAACATTATTGTACCATGATTGGTTTGGCACAGAGTGGGACACATGAGTGTCGAATATGTAATAACAATTATATGACACTGAACGAGCTCGACAACTCTCCCCATATCAGTACACCTTACATGTCTGGAATACAATTTAGCGAGTGAGCCAGTTGTGTTTCAAGTTTCATCGCCCACCCACAACATTCAGATTACGTCTACACGTCATTGTTTGGGGAAAATTTTCCTTTTGAATCTAGACATTCCGGGAAAAATTTTAAGTTTTCCCACGAAACTTGCTAACCGCTTAAAGTTTATTTTGCTTTCTACTTTCATTTGAAACCCATCCGCACACATGTATATCGTCGCCCACGGAGTAGATTCCGAGAGTAAAAGTGATTTGTCGTAGAGTAATCATAGTTGGGACCAGCTAAAAGTATCATCCTTGCAAAGTTGTTAGCTGTTTTGATGGAAGTTCAAAAATAATACAAAGCACTTTTGTCAGCATTCATCCACTTTCTGAATGGTCCCGTTGGTGTCCATCGCTTTTCAAATAAGATACGAAACAAATGTTCGCCGTCATTTAGTATTATTCGGAAGAAATTTACTGTTAATCGGTCCCCACCTTATCTCTCTGACTATGGCAAGAGATTCCTCATTCATTTTAATTGCACGATATATCGAAAATCTTCAGTTATCCATAATATCATCGCTCCAGTTTGGTGGATTCCATATTAGAGATGCAAGGCCAGTTGTCAAAACGTTTGATCACTAATCTGGAGGTGTTCATCATGAGAGATAAACCCTTGTGTTCAAGTTATATGTTCTCTTCATTGTTGTCCGATTTGCGTGCTGTGATTCGCTTCCGCGATAGACAGTTCCTTAGTTTGATATTCAACTTGTGAGCCCAAACCACAGCTAGCTTCTGTTTTTCTTTTTCGGTCACGTTACTGCCGCACAGTTTCGCGTTCTATTTTATGCAGCTTCATATTAGCGTTTTCATGCTGAGTCATTTCTCTTTCTTTAAGATCGAAGCGGTTAATCTTCTCGCGTCTCTCAATTTTTCTTTTTTCTGTTGTTGCACAGGGCAAAGTCACCGAAGACGCCGTGAGTATGAAGCAAGCACGGACCGGATGGCTGCGTCAGATAGAAGAAAGCCGTTTAGAAAACGATCGCCTACGAGCTCTTTTGAACCGCATCAGTAGCCAGAATTCGAGACGGAACTCTAAAGCGTCTGACCGCAAAGTGTCTCGACCATCCGCTGGGAGGACCGTAAGCATCTTTTTGTTCAAAGTTTTAATATGAGTGACTTAACAAAGCTAAAGCTTATCATGCCCCATAGGAATTTTACAGAATCTTTTGAATAAATTTACGAAGAAAAAATAATAATAATAATGTACATGATCGGTCACAGACGTCGAAACGTTAAGTGTTCCAATGCTTTATCCATTTGCGATTTAAACAGTTCAACTGTTGGAGCACACACGTCATGGAACAGAAAAGAATTCCATATGCCGCACACTGACTGCAAACGAGTGATTCCGGCNAGGTGGCTGTTCTGGGTCTTCAGCTTTAGTACATGTCCCCTGAGGTGATCAGTTTGAGATGAAGTCAGCATAGAACGACAAGGGTGGTTGAGTTGATACAGTATTTGGCATACCAAGATTAGGTCCCCCCGAAGTCGACGGTATTGAGATAAGTAAAGTCCCAATATTTGCAGTCTTTCGGAGTATGTCTTGTTATACAGACCTTTTTCCAATTAGGACGACTAAACAGATTTTCTAAACACTTCTGAACACCGTTTAAATATTTCCATCTGTCGTGTCGGATTGGATTTTAGAGCCTTTGGCGAGTGTGAGTTTATTGTTGATGAGCCAAAAAATAATCATAACCAGGCAGTATGGCATTTTTACCATACTTGGATGTGCTGCGATTGACAACTGTCCCAATACTAGTAAGATTAAGCTCTATTGAAAAACTTGTCATAATGCGCAGGCAATGCTTTTTACTGATTGTCGACCCTAGTCAACTTTTCTGAACTGTATCGCTGTGCTTGATGTGCTCCAAATTTCAAAGTGTTGATGGTGTTTGCATTAGTATTGTCTAAGAAGAGTTATGATGGATCGATTTGATATCCATTTCTCAACTGAGAATATACGCCAGCACCTGGTCTGTTCTCACGTCATCATTGTGAGACGTGCCCACTAAGCAGTATACAATGTTAAATGGTTGTTGTCATGCGAACTCCAATCCCTTTGTAGTTTTATGCCAGTCTCACTATACCATTTTAAGATAACTTTGAGAAACTATAATTTTCATTTGCGAAACTGTCATTTGGGATTGAGAAACCATCACTTAGACCTGAGAAAGAAATGCTGTGGTTGGATCCGCTTCCGTTCAGCGCACCTCATTGGTCGATTGATCATACATTTTTTCTACCCCCGGATCGACCACCTGTCTTCCCACGCTCTTTCTGTGCTGAAATGAGGCAGACCTCAGTCGTGCATCTTGTCGAGCTCTGTGACGGACGTCCAGTCGGTGGGTCGGTGAAGCCATGCTTGTGACAACCAAGTGGAACAGCACTCGATATGCACGAAGGGTGGCGCACCGTGTCGTGCCCACTACAGCTAAAGTACATTTGCTCGTAGTTGCTCTAACATTGACGATAGCTCAGTAGTCAGAGCTGACCACTGGTCATAGTTAACCAGGGACGAGTTTTGGGCTTACGGTGCAATCTGAGCTATGTACGAGAATCATGGGTCTATTGGAATAGCAGTATTTGTTCAGTGGGAGAGGCTGCAGTGAACTTGGGTGAATGGGCTGGCTGTCATCAATGACAGCAACCAAACCTTACATGTAGCTCGCCCATTCCTGGTTCAACCCACAGAACTGAACGAAACAGAACGCAGTCGATCTGTTTGGTAAAATAGGGTTACTCGTTCTCGGAATAAGTATTGTTGCTTAAGTAGCATCAACAGATGACATTTTTTATTATACAATGTGAATTACAGTAAAAGGGGAAATTCCCATGGAC